CCCCAAAACCCCAAAACCCCAAAACCCCAAAGTCCTTAGTCTCATTCGTAATTGGTTAATCAAATTAGGGATTTAAAATAAATTAAATCTAACTATATATAACATCATAAGGAACTAAGAATGCCGTCAAGTTCTTTGAAACTAATAGGTTTCTCCACTATAATAATGATTTTGTAAATATTTCTTACATATTCCGTCGAAGACACCATCTTTGTCTTCCAAAGTATGCTATATTGCTGAATGAAGAAATATCTTTGTATTGGTTAAATCTATTTCATGACTTTCATGTAATTGTCTTAAAATAATGCTAGTTTACATTCCATCAATTAAGGGCATGTTTAAATCCATTAAAATCAATCTATAGGGTTCTTCTTTTAATTTAAATGAATCCTTTAGTCTCTTTATAGCATCATAACCATTCATTACATTATCACATTTGTAATTTCCTCTGGTCTTAATCAAAAGCCCTAGTGAATAGAGATTAAAAGCATCATCGTCAACTAAAAGAATTCTGTATTTAGTACTCTAGTTTAAATCTGAAAATGTCTTCGGGTTTAAGTTATATTTCGAGACTTTATCAAAGCTCTATAATCTCAATGACCCATCGCTATCGGATTACACATTCTTAAATGGAATTTTAAGATCGAATTCGGTACCATCTCCAACCACTGACTTAAAATCTATTTACCCTCCCCAAGCCTTAATAATTTTTCCACAAATTGTAAGTCCTAAACCCATTCCATTTTAATTTACATTTTACTTCTACTTAATATTGTGCAAAAACTTGAAAATGTTGGGTGCATTTTCTTTCAATATTCCACAGCCAGAATCCTAGATTTTTATATTAAGTATCTAGCAATTTTCATCTTCCAATTCCAAGTCTTATTAGTAAGATTCAATTATTATCTTCACGTACCCTTGATTAGTATATTTAATAGCATTATACACAAGTATGAATAAAATCTGCCAAAGTCTTCCTTTATCACATTCAATAAACCTGAAAGCATAAGTTTTAAACTAATTTGTACCTAGGTATTGATTCATTAACACTACAGTTGAGATCAATTCCTTTTATCTAGGCTTGCATTTTAAAGGAGCTTATTATATCTTAAATTAGAGTTTTAATTTCAAGCTTGTCTTCTTTGAAATTTAAGTTAGTATCTTATATAAGGCCTACGTCCTATAATATAAGTAAAAATATTCATTTTAGGGTCTTACATTGAGATTATGAATCAAATGATATAAAGTATTGACAGATTCTTTGCAAGCTTATATTTTAGTCTAGAGAGAGTTCAAACTACTTGGTAGTTCAGAGCTAATAATCTGAATCAGTGAATTTATACTATTAAGAGGTGTTATGAATTTATGCGAAAGAGATTGATATAGCACTTTGGTCATTTTCTGACTAATCTAAAAGAAATCTGACCTTTTCTGCCTTGTTGTATCAATAAATATTGCAATTTTTTCTCCATTAGGAAGAAGACCACCAATATAATTAAAATTCTTTTTCCATTCTTTAATTTTCAATTTCATTTAGGTTTGGTCATTAAACATTTGGAATGATTTATTTTCTGATTCAAATATTAATTCTTTGAGTGAATTAAATTCGTGTTTTTCACTTTCTAACAATTTCCCTTCATTTTTTACTTGAATGTTTAGAGTTTTAGTAAATAGGGATTCAAATGATTTTGACTCTCCGTTGTTATTCATAAATGACTTTTTGATCTAATTGTTAACATATGTCACTTTATCCAAAGTCTTATTATAAGTCATGATATAGAAAGGAAGACTGTCAATAATTTATTTCCATTTTATTTTATCCTAGAATCATAATAATTAATTGCAAATTTATATTACCAAAAATATTCGATTTAGCTGTAAAACCGAACGTTCATAGTCTATATGAATAATTGTATTCAAGACCATAAGCATGGTCGATGTTGCTAATGAGATGGAGCATTCTTCTTCTATAATCAGTATTTGTTGAAATATAATTTTACATGAGTAACTTAGTTAAATAAAATTTATTAGGATTCTGGAAAAGCAAAAACATAACGATTTCTTTTTCCAATTTAGCTGAGTTTAAGATAATGAAAGCATTTGAAAGGATGGTATGATTATTTCGAGCTATTTCAAAATATTTTTTTCATTATTTTCCATTAAAAGCATTAATACTGCCTCTAATATTGATATTAGGACACAAATATATCCTCCAATGAATCTGTATTGAATTAATATTAACACTTCGATGATATTCTTACTTTATTTATCTTTTTCTTTTAAGTATCAATAAATATAATAGTACCACACTAATTGTTGATAAGCAAATTAATGCTTAAAATTGAGAATTAAGAATAATGCTAGCTACACTGCAACAAATTAGTATAATACATGATATCTTAATATTTTCTTTTATAGTGTCCTTTCTCAATGTCTTCATTAATTTTTAGTTCAGTGGCAGAAACATCATTAGTCGATTAATTTTAATACAATATCTCTTTATTCTTTACTATGAAATATTCTTCTAATGATACAATCTCATTGTTCTATTTAATTAGCAAAATGTTTATCAAATTTTATTCATTTCACTATTTAATTAGAGAAATTCTTACTTTGGGGTTTTGGGGTTTTGGGGTTTTGGGG